AAAATTTGAAAATTTTGGGCTAAAACCTCGGGATTTTGGGGAAATCGAGCCCTAATTTGCATAAATGAATATTAATTATCGCTAATTACTAATTACAGAACCTTGGGGGGGGTTCCTAGAGGGAATTTTGGGTGAAATTTGGGGAAATTTCGGGTGAAAAATTCGGGATTTTGGGCTGAAAAATTCTGGAATTTTGGCCTAAAACCTCGGGATTTTTGGGAAATGGGGCGCTCATTTGCATAAATTAACATTAATTATCGCTAATTATTAATTAAAGAACCTGGGGGGGGTTCCTAGAGGGAATTTTGGGTGAAATTTGGGGAATTTTGGGCGAAATTTTGGAAATTTCGGCCGAAAAATTTGAAAATTTTGGGCTAAAACCTCGGGATTTTTGTGAAACCGCCCCCTCATTTGCATACATGAATATTAATTAGCGCTAATGAACGATTGCAGAGGCGTGGGCGGGGCCCGAGGAGGGCGTGGCCGCCGCCCCTCCCCCCCCCAGGCTGAGCTTTGCCCCCGAGGCCGTGGCCCGGCTGGGGGGGGCCCTGGGGAGGCTCCAGAGGGGCCTCCAGCAACTCGGGACGCACCTGGGGGGCAGAGGTGAGTGCCTGACACACCTGGGGACACACCTGGGGACACACCTGGGGACACACCTGGGGACACACCTGGGGACACACCTGGGGACAGGGGAGACACACCTGGGGACACCTGGGGATACCTGGGGATACCTGGGGATACCTGGGACACACCTGGGGACAGGTGAGACACACCTGGGGACACCTGGGGACACCTGGGGATACCTGGGACACACCTGGGGACAGGTGAGACACACCTGGGGACACCTGGGGACACCTGGGACACACCTGGGGACACCTGGGGACACCTGGGACACACCTGGGGACACCTGGGGACACCTGGGGACAGGTGAGATACACCTGGGGATGCACCTGGGGACAGGTGAGACACACCTGGGGACACCTGGGACACACCTGGGGGCACCTGGGCACACCTGGGGACACCTGGGATACACCTGGGGACAGGTGAGACACACCTGGGCACACCTGGGGACACACCTGGGGGGCAGAGGTGAGTGCCTGACACACCTGGGGACA